ATATATATTATAATATATATATTTAATATATTTAATATATATTTATAATATATAAATAAAAAATATAGGTTGAAAAATAATATATTGTTTTTATTTTAAAATATTTTCTGTTTTTTTTATTTACAGATCATTAATAAAAAATAGTTATTCTTTTATCGTTGATTTAATATAATATATTGTAATTATAAAGAAATCAATCTCATAGCAATTATGTTTTATTATTTAATAGTATTTATTTTTTTTTTTTTGTAAAATAATCAAAGATACAATAAAAGAGAAAATTGTTTAAAGCTCAATAATTAATTATTATTTTCAATAAAAATTATTTCAAAAAGAATTTTTATTTTTTGTTATAATTTTTATAAAATTGTAAAAATAATAGTAACAATAATTTTTCTTTTTAAAAAGACATTTTTAAATAATATATTTCATTATTTAACGATTATCAATGTGAAATTTCTTAAATATGTGTATTTAATATGTATTTAAAAAAATTATTAAATTTATTTCTTCTTATTTATTATATATAATCAAAATCGATTCATTCAATCGATACGTTTTTTGGGTTTTCAGGTCACCTCCTTACATTACCTTTTAAAATTATTTTCTAACGGTACCTATAATGTTCTTCATTATTAAAATAGAAATATTTTAAAAATATTAGTATATAAAAAATGAGTAAAGAATTCTCTTAATTGTAATAAATGTAGATAAATTTAGATAAATATTTTGAAACTTAAGTACATATAGATAACTTAGAACATTTGCACAATACATTTTCTATCTAGTTTATTATAATTCAAAAAAAAATATTGTTAATTTTCTGACAGAAAATATAAAAAAAGTTATATAATAAAGAATCTTTTTTCAAATTTTTTCTAATAAATTATTTTTGTAATAAAAAATAAAAAAATTAATTATTTATTTTATTTACAATCAATTTAATTAATATTTTGTAATTAATATTGTAATTGTATTAATATATTTGTAATGCTTACAGAAAAAAAGATTACATATATTTCATTATATATCTTCTAATAACACCCGCAAAAATATAAAGGCGTAAAGGTAGTGAACAATATGTATATTTGCATAAACAGAAAGGAAGATTTCTATATTATTTGAAATTAATTAATTTTTTTTTGTATGAATATCTTATAATAATAATGAAAGTATATATTGTGTTAATATTATTGTGTTAATAAATTATCAAATTCTATCATCAATATCATGTATTAAAATTATTACATACTGTTACATTTTGTAGAAATTAACTATTATAATATTTGTATCTTTATTAAAATAATATTTTAAAAATTTTATAAAAAAAACTTTTTTTTCAGATGATATACAAAAATATCAATATACGAGTATAGTATACAAAATTATTTAAATACTTCTCGAAAATATTTCGTATAATCGTAAAAGTATTGACATCATGTCCCCATTGCATGTACTTATATATAGTATGTATATATAGGGGTGCTACTTGTGGGAGCAACGTAGTTCTGCGGAGAACGTCTTTAGGTAAGCATCGTTGATTCAATACAACGAAAAAGATTTTTTTTGATTTTATATTAATCAAAGAAATTCTTAAAAGAAAATTAAATTTTATTAATATTTATTAATTAAGTTTTCTTAAGAAATACAATTTAGACAATAGATATTTTATAATTCTTTATTTTAATTATATGATTCGTTATCAACAATAAATATTTAAATAAATATTACGCATGAAAATTTAATTAATTATTATGAAAGCATTTATGAATATTTACAAATTCAATTATAAATTTATAATATATAAATTTATAAATAGTCAAAATAATTGGAATAGTATTATACATAATTTTTTAAATATTATATATCATATAATTAGCTGAAATATATTAAATATATTATAATAAAAAAAAAATAAAATTATTGTTTTAATTTTATTTAAAGATTAATTTAATTTTAATTTATTTTAATTTTGTTTTACAAAATTTATAATAACAAAAATTTTTATTTTATATATGTTTATCTTCGCATATAATTTTTTATCTTTATATGTTCATTATCAAAAAATATTAAAATATAAAAAGTAAAATAAAAAAAGAAAATTATTTTAAAAAATACCATTTATTCGATATGTATAATTGTAATATACGAAATATATAGTATGAAATTATTATAACCTTTTGTTATAGTTATTTTAATCATATATTTTTTCATATATTTTTTAATATTTAATAATATTATTAATAAATAATAATTGTAATAATTAAATGTAAGTAATAATTTCAAAAATACTTTAGAAAAAAGAATTATAAGCGCTTAAACTTGTTATATTATCAAAGAATTGATATATATTGATATATATATATATATATTATACATTTTTTTATAAAATATAATATACTTTATTTCGAATAAATTTTCTTTTAATACTTACTTATTGGCCTATTATATATTAATTCATTGAGATATAATATTAAAATTATCACTATAAACAATTATCAAATTTTAGAATTAGAAAAAATATTAGAAAATTTTTTTTTTTATTATTGCAAAGTAACTATAATATACAAATTAAGATGAATTTTATTTCTGAAGTATTATATCTATATTTGTATTTATATTTATATATGTATTTATTTATATAATTTATATTTATATTTTTATATTCTAGCTGGAAAAATGATACGATTTGTTATTGTATTTGGTACATTAATTGTTTTATCAACGGCTCAGTTTCAACCTACTAGAAGAATTTTAGAAGCACCAATTTCTGCGCTTTGTGCACAAAGTAAGTAGTAAATTATAATTTCATATAAAATAACTTTCATTATATTTATGTTTGTTGCAATATTAATAACGAGAGTTTTGTAGTTTTTTAATAATGAGGTTTTTTTATAAATTTGAATTGCGATAAATAAAAATAGTTTTAATAGNTAATATAGTATAAGTTTATATAAAATATAAATAAGAATATAAAAAATATAAAATATAAAATAAAATATAAATATAAATAAGATTAATGATAAAAAATATATTTCAAAATGTATAAATTTATTATTATAATATATATAAAAAAAAACTTTTCTTCAATTTATTTATGAAATACAAAGGATATAAATTTTTATTAAAAAAATTTAAATATGTTTGAGTATCTTATTATTTACTACTAACTTTCATTTTTCTAATTATTAAATTTTCTATGGAATGCGTTCTCATTATATTATGTACCATCAAACTTTCTTTTTGTCATTCGAGAAAGTGGCTTGTATAATTAACATACCAATTTAACATTTAAGTCGTGACTGTAATATTTAAAATCGTGAGTGTCATTGATGAAACTTTCTCTTGTGTTCTTCGTAGATAGAAATTAAATTTATGAATTTCAAAATATTTATATTTTTATGATTATACTTCATTATTAGAAATTCACTATTTAAAACTATAAATTTATTTTAGTTATAAAAATCTGAATATTGAATATGAATATTAAATAATATGTGCATATTTATTTAATTTTCTATAATTTGTGTGTATTTGAACAATAATTTATCAAAATATATATAGAAGAGAATTTACTCAATGATACTAAAATAAATAACTAGATATAGAATAGATTTGCCAATTTTTTTTATAAAAATATATTTAATATATTTAATAAATTATTTTATTATTAAAAGATAATTTAAGATTAATTTACATAATTTTACATATTTTTTTATATACATCTTAAAATGTGTAATATCTAAAAGGTTGATTTTACTTTTTTTCTGTCTTGTTTTGTTTTACGCGATTGTTTGTAACTTAATAAATTAATTTTAATTTATTATATATATTATACATATTAAATTATAACGAAATATATTATAATATATATAATATATATTATATATATACTAAATTATATATTAAATTATAACGAAATTGTTTATGAATTTTTATAAAAAAATTTACTTTATTTGAATTAAAAAATCATTTCTATTAAAATGAAAATTATTCAAGAAAAAAATTAATCACAAATATGAATATTTAATTTTTATAAAAAACTATAAAAACTATAAAAACTATTTTAATTATTTAAAATATAAAATATCAAGATATTGTTTCAAATAAAATAGATTTTAATATTGAATGATATAAATTTTTATTGAGATAATACAAATTTATTTATTAATAATTTTATATTATTTAAAATAAAAAATTAAATATGTTATTTTAGGGATTATTCATGAACGTTTTAATGGTAAGGGTTATTACTATTCATGGGCTGATCCAAGAACAAATGGACAAGAACTTGATTGGTTAGCAGGCAGAAATTTCTGTAGACAAAGATGTATGGACCTTGTTTCCTTGGAAACTTCTGCAGAGAATGAATTTATTAAAAGTCGCATTGTTCAAAGTATTGAAATATTTTATATATATATTGTAAAGTCATAGCATTTAAACATGGATTAGAAAAAAATGATAATTTTTAGATAATGTAAAATATATTTGGACATCTGGACGACTTTGTGATTTTAAAGGATGTGATAGGCCTGATCTTCAACCTCTTCATATTAATGGTTGGTTCTGGACTGCAGAATTACAAAAACTTGCCCCTACTACTGATCGCTCTCAAAATGATTGGTCTGAAAGTGGAGGGTAAGTATTTTTCTTTGTAAATTTTTAAAAATTATTATGAATATTAAAAATTAAAAATATTAATTTTATATTTTTTCAATATTTAAAATTTAATAAGTTTTTATAAATATTTTTACTATATATAGTATTGCATTTATAATTTTCAAATATTTTTTTAATTTTTTAAAATTCATAATAAAATTAATGATAAATAATTTCTTATATAAAAATAAATAAAAATAATAAAAGAACGATTTTTAAAAATCTATTGTATTGTTCATATTATATTATTACTAATATATATCAACTTTAATATAAATAATATTGATATAGAATAATAATAAAATTTTTTTCCTCATAATTTTTTATAATTGTTTTTATTAAATAGCATTTAAACAAAAATTTTAAAAAATTTTGGCACAATTTAATTTATTTTAATTTATTTTTATATCAAAAGTGATTTATTTTTTTATTATATTATAATTAATTAATGTCTTATTTTATACGGAATATATTTAAAAAATGTATTATTTAAAAAAAATAAAAAAAATAAATTATTTTATATGATATTAATAATTAACAAATGACAATATATTGTAGAATTGGAAAACCGCAACCTGATAATCGTGAAGCTATACAACAAGGAGGTGCACCAGAAAATTGTTTAGCAGTATTAAATCAATTTTATAATGATGGAGTAAATTGGCATGATGTTGCTTGTCATCATAAAAAACCATGGGTGTGTGAAGATAATGATTCTTTATTAAGATATGTTCATTTTACTAATCCTAATAATCGTAATTAAAGTAAATAAAATATAGTTTATATTATATTCATTGTTATTATACCTTATAATTATTTAGTATTTTATATAAATTCATATCTAATGCTATTGTAAAATTATATATGATATCTGGTGAACTCTTTTCTCATTGATTTTAATATTGATTTTGAAATATATTATAGGATATTATATATTATACATAAAAAACATCATTCTGATACAAAAACTTTGGTTTTCGAATTAGTAATAAAAAAACTATTGATATTACATTGAACTTTTGGATTTGCGGAATACAAAAATAAAATATAAAACAATTACAATAATTAATTACAATTAATCTTATTTTTAGTATACTATATTAAATTCTTTTTACATATGTCACGGAGAGAATTTTAAAAAAACTTCTCGTTAAAATCTATTTATATATGTATAAAAAAGTAAATTTTCAATATACTCTAATACTTTTATTAAATAATCGGTCAATTGTTATAACCAATTATATACATAGTTTATCGCACTATGTTATGAATCGTACTATGTTATAATCGTATAGATAAAATTTAATATGTAGAATCGAAAGTTATTTGCGAATAACTTAAAAATTTAAAACCAATTACCAATTTTGTGTAAAGAAAAAAAATTTAATCAAAATGATATTCTTTATAATGATATTTACAAAGATATTTCAAAATCAATGAAGAGGAAACTTAGTAAATTGATTTTATATTTAATTCTTCCAAAATTTAATTTTACTAGTCTATATTATTTCATTGTAAATTATACATACACACATATCATACATAATATAAGTAATTTTAAATATAAAATACGATACATTAGTAATAAATTGGTAGTTGAGATGAAATAGATCAGAAGAATATTCATTTTTATGAATATACTGTCGAAATCAATCAGATTTTTTTCGACTGCCAATTTGTCAATCAATAATGTAAAGTAATAAATGTAACTTAAGTATTTGAATGATTATATTTGCAATTTTTAATGAATGAAATATATGTTATAATATATAATATGTTATAATATATGTTAAAAAAATTTGTTTAAGACAATAAGGTATATAATAGGAAGAAAATCTCAAGATTATTCAGCAAAATTTGAAAATAATTCAATTATGCAATAGTTATAATACATTTATTATATGCACGCACTATTAATAGATTATAAAAGTATGCTGATACGTTATTGGTAGTTTTTATAGATTTTAGCCAGAAATGTACTGATACTAAGTGAGAGTATTTTTACGTTCAGTCGATGTCAAGCTATCGTTCCATAATATATATAAAGTATTAATCATCATATATTCATGAAACTTTTGAATATTTTTCAAATTCAGAGAACTTAAGATAAAAATTGATATAAAAAATTATTTTGAAATTATTTATTAAATTATTTAATATTAATTTATTAAAAAGTTATTAAAATATTGAATTTTCGTTATTCATGAAATAATTAAATGTTGTTAATAAAAATAAAAAAAAATATTTTTTAATCTAACTTAATATATAATAAGTTAATAAGAGATGATATAAAATTTAAAATGAAATTTTTTTTATTTTTTTTTATGATAAATTTTCATTAAAAAAAATCAATCACAATTAAATCAAGAATAAGTTATCATAATTATTACATATGTTAAAAAGTTCATAACTCATTACATTTTTCAAATATAATTTTTATATATTTTGTTCATCCGTTCGTTATGAAAAAATAATTAAAATGACTATATTTAGTGATTGAAATAATTTGTATGAAGAATATTTAATAATAAAAGGCAATAAAAAAGGCAGTTAAATACTGATATGTATGCTCTTACAAATGCACACATATAGATACATTTCATAATATATATTATATAATATTAAAAGTTTTTTACTATTTTGAAATATAAAGCTGAATAGTATGATATGTACAAGAAAAAATTATTTAAAATATTATTCTTAGCAAAATATTTCAAAATTATCAAAATCAGTAAGATTTTATTTTTCTAATTTTATTTTTCTTTATAAATAATTTCATTATTTAATTTTTTTTTATAAAAAAATAAAAATATAAATTATTTATTAATTTCATACAGTTAAATTAAATATATCAATAGATTATAAATATACATAATTATTTATACATCATTTATTTTTTACTTTCTACCATTATAATATGATAACCAAATTTTGTTTTAATTGGTGGATCTGTGTAGATTGGAGAATTAATAGAAGAAATAGGTAATGCAAATGCAGCTTCTTGAAATGGACCTACCATTGATCCTCTAATCATCCATCCAAGATCACCCTTAAACATTAAATATTTATAGTTTAATGTGTATATATATATATATATATTACATACATATATATTATATGTATATTACATACATGTATATTATATGTATATTACATATATGCAATTATTTAAAAATTAATATTTTATATATTACAAATAATAAGTTACATTACCCCAGATCTTGCTTTGTCTTCACTATAAATGGCAGCCACTTCATTAAATTTCCCTCCAGCTTTTAATTTTTCTAAAGCTTCCAAAACTTTTGATTGTTTTTCACATAGTATGTGTCTAACCTTTATAGTAAAATAATTAAAGGATATATAATAATTATATATCTATATAATAATAATAGACCTATTTTTATATAAATAGGATACAATTATTTTTTAATATACATTTAACATACCTTTACAGCATTTCCAGCATTTCCTTTTTTTTTCTCTTCTTTTCCATTGTTAGTTTCTACAGTTTTAGATTTATTTGCCTTTGAAGTATTTGTGCTTTTTTTTGGTGGCATATTTGAATTTCTTATTTATATAAAAATATTAAATTAAAAATTGTACGTTTTTATTTCATATTTTTTTATTTAAATTTTATTATACTATTACTACTTATATAATATTATTTATTATACTAAGATATAAGATAATATATAAGATATATATTATATTATATATTCATGATTCGATAAGTTTTTATTTCATATTTTTTATTATATTTAAATTTCTTATATTATACTATATTATTATACTAATATATATTATATATATTATATATTATAATATATTTTTATATTACAATATAGTAATTTAGTAGTAGTTTTATAATAATAATGTGTTACTATTTGTTTATATATGTGTTACATATATAGTAGTATCATATAGTTTTTTTATATTAAAATCTTATAAATTTATTAACTTATACGAAATTTTATTAATTTATAATTAGTGAATAATAATATTTATAATATTTTTTTTTAATAAAGTTTGATATTTGTAATTATTTCATTTAATTCATATTTTCATTTAATTTCTTTTGTTTAATATTGAAAATCCTTTTTCATTTTTATTAATTTGTATTCACTTTTAAAAGTTATACTTTTGTTTAAAAAATAATTTAAACTTTACATTAATAAAATTTATTTAAATTAATTGTAAATAGCTTAAATATAAGCAATATAACCTCAAATTCGAATATTTTTTTTTATTATTTTACATATATTATTTTTATTTATTATTATTATAATACTTACACATTATTTAATTAATATTAAAATTTATAAATTATGTATATTTAAATCAATTTCTTTACAACTTCTTTAATTTTATTTTAATACTAAAATATGAATATAAAACATAGAACGATATAATTCTCGTTTTCTTTTTATTACTATTAGTAAAAACAATATTACCAAATTTAACATTATTTTATATCAAAAGTATCTAAAGTAAGCTGTAAATATTTAGTGATCAAGAATTATTTTATTCAGCATAAGTTGGTATTCATACAATATTGAATGCTCTACTTTTGATAAAATTATTTTTATTATAATAGATATAATTTAGTAAGATATTAATTATTTGAAATAGAAAATTATTCTAAAATATTCTATTTGTAAAATATTTTCTTTCTTGCAATCTCTTTTTTTAAATCCAAAATTTTATATTAATTTTCTATAGTTCATAATTCGATAATAGATTAGTTCTATTAATAAAAAATATTTCCCATTAATTTTTATTTATATATAGACTATTGATGAAAGTGTCTCGTTGTTGCAATTAATAACAGAATATAAAAAATCAGGAAGCTTAACAAAATTTATGATCTATTTTTGTTATAATGTAAATAAGAATAATATAAATAATTTAAATTGAATGTCTTCAAAAATTTTAAGGATTATGCATGATTTATTAAATTTCTAATTTATTACAACAATAATGATTAAATTTAGAATTTTTAAGAGAAAACTTTCTATTGAGTTCTAACTTTCTCTTTGCTAATATTATTTAAGTTGTTTATTTGAAAAAATATGTAATATTTTATATGTGCATGAATAATTTAAATTTTGCTCTCAATTCTCTCAAAAATATCAATATATCAAAACTTTTTTTACCTCATAGAAATAACAATATATATTATTCTGTATTCGCTTTAGGATATTATGAATATGATTAATTGAACTTCTATTTTTATATTCGATTATGTTTAATAAAAGTTTTATTAATTTAAGATTAAATTAAAGTTAATTTTAGTTAAAAATATTTTTTAATTAAGTTTTAATTATATATATCGATTTATATATATCAAACAGTAGCGTTTATTTTTTTATTCTTTATTTAAATCGATAATTAGTATTAGTAATTAATAATTATAATAAAAAAAAAACTTGCATAAATCTTTCTTTCGATAAACATATCTTAAAATATAATCTTTGCACAATCAATAAAATCAAACAATGTAATATTGTATTTTTTTTTGTATTTCGTCATTTCTTTCAAAATAATTATAAATAATATTATTATAATA